TAAAAGCTAACAACAGAGAATGAACCAGGAAAGTTTATAAAGATCATACATGATATTTCATAAAAAGAAATGTCAAATGATATCAAGGGAGGAATCATACTACAAATATATAGTTTAGTTTGTTCACGAAACATGATATCTGTCTGATTTTCTTGCTTCAGAGACTTCTATTTACGTAAAATGGATTAAATTGATAAGTGCGGAAGTACTTTATTTTATTATTCAAAGAATCGATCTTTCGCGGACATATTTCCAGAAATAACCCAAATACTCGAAATATTTCGCGAGTTAACGTCTTGCTGCAATTTTATATCTGCGGAAAATCGTTCTTCTCGATTGATTTCTCTCATGAATCTTCGATAACGCGACCGACTATAAGACTACAGAGTGAATCGACATATGTAACGATGCAGGTGGAGGACTTGAATATTCATAGACCATTCTCCGATATACATGCTGGTCCTTCAGAATATATTTATGAAAACACATGTTGCTCGACTCGAGCCCAGCTACTTAATAATAAATCACTATGTCGAATCTCTGCCACGAGAACTTGACTATCGATATTTATCGAATGTAAAATAATTGTTCTCGAAATGGTTACAAATATCAATAACACTAAAGCACGCGTTTTCAATGAAATTTTAATTCTCCAAAAGCAAAAAAAAATATGCCTATGTCGTAAATACAACAAAAGTTCTAGTATATTATATTCTTTCTCCTATGCTTATATAAAATAAATCAAAAAAATTGTTGTGTAATAAAACACTGAAAAGGCAAAAACATTCTTATTTTTGCAGGAGATATTTAAAATAATTTGATATATTTGTATATATTTAATTCGACATTTCCGTTTTATTTCATTCATATAATCGTTTCGTGATAATGCATTATTAAATTTAAAAGCTCATATCTGTAATTTGCCAGATCCATGTATACCCGTAATCCTTACAAAGTAATTATTTTATATTATGTATTATATATAAAATTATTTCGATATTATTATTATTATTATTATTACTCTTTAAGAATTAATCGCAATAATTATTAATTTTAATCTTGTTTCAGTTTTATCTTCCATGCAATTGTCATAAAAATGCAATCGTACATATAAATATGAAGCTTACGCGATATAATCTAGATGATAATGCAAGCACGTGTCATTCTAATAAAAAGCGCTGAATCCTAATAAAACCCGACAATATACGCATTATACGTTGCTGCACATTCATCGATGAGGAATATCAACGATAATGAAGAGGTGAATTTTGCGTGTTATGAATATAAATGCAGGACAATGCACGCGCGTACACACGTATACACACACGTACACATATACACAAGATACTCTCCGCAAAAGTGCAATAACATTCAATAGTCCGTTGAATAATCCGCATTTCAATCGCGATGCACGTGCGCAAAGATCACGCGGCGTGCAAACGTGAATATACTAGGGAAAAAATTAAAACTTTGTTAATCTTCGGCATCTTGTACAATTGTGTGAAATGTCCCATTATAATATAAGGTTATATGCTGTTACCGACGATTAAACTCTAAATTAAATGGAACACAAAACTGACAATCTGATCCGAATTCCAGTTTGAATAGCTCTCTCTAAAGTTCATTCGACATCGGCTGATCCGCCAAATACTGCATTTTATTATAACATATCATCCGTGCATTTATATATACTCGTAGATATGCAATCACCAATAGTTTATTACAGAAAATTATGATAACGATATATATATAATAATGATGTACTTTCTACTCTTTTGAGATCGAATAAACTTTTCTTAAATATTTGTTCATTTTTTCTCTATTATATTATAGAACGAACAAAAAGAAAAAGAAAAAAGAGAGAGAAGAAAAAAATGAACAAATATTTAAGAAAGTTTATTCGATCTCGAAAGAGTAGAAAATACATCATTTCTATATATATCCTTTATATGCTTTAGAAGCTGCATAATAGCGCAGAAAAGATTGAAAAGGATATCATATACTGCATTTTGCAGATTATTTAGTGGCTCACTACCAACGCACGAAAAATGAGAGAGGAGGTTAATATCACTTCTGTTCTGCGAATATAGAAAGCTTTATGATGCGTTGCTCTCAAATCCCGCAGCTTTTCGCTATGGAACAATGAAAGCGCGCCGTTTCCGCAGCTTCCATCGCATCTATGATGCACAACATTCCGCTGTTTTTCCAAACTGCATCCTATGATCAGCCTCGATCAAACGAATTAATGATGGGATGCGTGATTAAAATACCACGGATGTGCATATCGCGAACCTAATTGTTCCTAATTGGATTTCGTGCTTTCACCCACACAATGAGAGCGTAATTCATTCAATGTTCGTAGATGCGCATATATCGAAACTATTCTATCAATTTTGACAAAGCAACGAGAAAAGCGATTCCCTTAAAGATTAATTAATCAATAACGATTGTATTATATAATTACACAAAAAATGCAATATATTCGTGTAATTATATTATATTTATTATAAAAAATGTATATAAGATTTCAAAATTCTAATATATATGTATATGTGTGTGTCATTGTGGCTGCATAATAATAATTCATAAGATATCATTTCCTGGTCTATTTTGTGTATAATAATTTATACATATAACAAAACAACTGATTCGTAGATGTAAGGGATAGTGATAATATAATTTCCAACACCTGAGAAAAATAAAATTCCGGTGTTAAGAAATTACAGAAGCGATCACACGTGTGCAATAATATCAAACTGAAGAAAAATGAGCGAAAGAAAGGGGCAAACCTTCACATTTCAACGTCAAAGTTTCCCGTAGCAAATAATACTTTATCACAAGAATTGTTCCAGCAAGAATCTCGAAGGCAATGTGTATCGGTGGAAGAATCTAATCGGCTTAAGAGCAAACCTGTAAGGATCACTCGTATATTCTTCGCATCGAATGCCCTCAATATTTTCCGCAATTCGTGAAATTAACTAGCACTTTGTTTAACGAACGCTCGAGAATTTTTTTCTCAACCGCGAATAAAATAATTGTCCAAAAATGCCACGGATGCAATCGAATTGGAAACTCGGTCCTCTAACTCAATTCACGATGTCAGTCGAAACGGTAGGTTGACGAACGGACCGCAGTCTCTCGATCCGATTACATTTTCCAATACATTTCAACGGATTCGATAGGTACAAATTCTCGACGACGAGCGTCATTAAAGTATACTTCAGCCTTCTCGAACTAGTGGTTGCCACTCGACACGCGCTAGTACTTAATTAATGCAGATTACGATGCGGCGCAAACAGCTTGTTGCTCCGCGCGCAATCATTGAACCTGTACATCCCCAATAAAAGCGTTCGATCTTGGTTAAATTTGCTGCATTGCGAAAGACCGGAGTGAAAAGTGCGAATCACGGTTAAAGACAAAAATGGTTCTTTTATCAAAATTAAATTTATAGAAAATAAATAAGTGCAATATGAGAAATAATTAAGATTATATAAAATTAATATTTTCATGGCTCCGATATAAATAGTACGCTTCTAATTGTAATGATATAATAATAAATATATACCTTCTGTCGCGCGAGTCAGTCAATGAATTATTTTTTTAGTAATTCAATCAGATATTATTTTAGTAAAAATATAATTCACAAAAGAATTGGATATTAATGTAATAAAGATCTATTCAGAAAGAAAAGCTATTATATTCTGTGTCATTTACAATAATTTATACTATATTGTATTGTATTTATATATTGCAAACTTTTGTATTTTTATATATAGATATTTGATATAGTTAATGCGAGTTAGTTGAAGAGCTAATTCGATAATTGCTCTGCACTCAGACTTCATATTCAAATTTCACACTTCGCGGTGCACAATCATAAAATTAAAATTTTAATTATATTTCAACGATTTTAATAAACTATATCTGATGAAAAATATCTCGAGGTAACAACCGTATATATCATTGATAAAATGCATCGATATATATACATATACAGAGTGTCTCAGAACTAGTAATAAACCTGTTAATGGCAGATTCCTGGGATAACTTGGAGACAATTTTTCCTCAACGAAGTTGAGGCATCAATAATTTTCGAGTTATAAGCAATTGAAAAATAAGGGTTTTTTTCGCAAACTATGCCTTGTTGAAATAAAATATTAACAAAATCACATTCTTTTATTAATTTCATATAGAGTTTACTTTAATATAATTTAAGGCTTAATTACAAAGATACATGATGACAAAAATTGAGAACATGCAAAAAATAATCTCCCTCGACATTTTCGCTAAGAAAAAATCGTCTCCAAATGATCCCAGAAATCTGCCATTAACAGGTTTACTATTGATTTTGGGACACCCTGTATATATCGGAGGTCATATATCTGGCACAGTATATTGCTAAGTTTCAAGATTTTCCATTTGTTGGACACGCCTACCTGATTTCGCCCTCGGCGAGCTTGCAGCGAAAAGCATGTCGACGGTTCGCCGAGTTTAACAATATATATTACTTTATACAATTTTACGTCGCCCGGTTTTATTGTTATTTGCAAATACGTAATATATCGTGGCTATACAAATGTGTTACAGATTGCAAAATATCAGGTAGATTTTACGCGACTTTTGAGACTCGAAGATTGAAATGTGCTCACGCAAGCTGATATAAAATCAGATATTTTATGATTGAAAATTCTTCGGATAAATCCGAAGATTTAAAGATTTTGGAACTTGCTTTATGACTTTTTTATGCGATCGTAAAATCTATGCTCATTTTCATGGTCCTCGTAAAAAAAAACCGAATAAAATATTAAAGCCGATATTCTAGAATCCTTACCTTTAATTTTCACCGTTGTTTCTGCATATGATATTATAAAAAAAATTCTCTCATGAAATCAAATCTAAAATAATTTAGCAAAAAATACAAACAAAAACCTATTTTATCAGCCTCATCTTAATGCAGCGTTCGTGATAATTTGCAGTCGGTTTTGGCTTTATGATTTTAGAAAATGCACTCCGCGACCGTGTGCATCGCCTTCGTCCTGACGTGCACGAGCGGGTCGCTTGTCGCAGGTTTGCGATATATCGATCCGCAGCCGGGAAATAACGGCGATATTGGTGACAAACGACTGGACCTGGCCGAGCCGTCGTGCGACGTGCTGCGGCTCATGTGGAGGTACACGAAGAGGCAGAGCAGAGCCGTGACTAAAGCCACCAACGGATACCCGATGTACCCGTATCCCAATATATGGCAGCGTCCCGAGCTTCCTCCCGATCGCGATATATATTCCAGGGGATACACGCGAGGTAAGACTCCCTTATATGCCTTTCAAAGTCGTTACATAATCTTCGCAAAAGCTCTCTGAAAGCTCAGAATTTTTTGCTCTTGTCGTTTTGCATGGAGATATAATTTTTGGTTCTTAACGAAAAACTACAAAATTAAAAGGAATTAATTGGCCTTACGCAGCTGTTGCGCCTACACGACTGAAATTCCGGGAAGAATTGGAAGGTAAGCAAACCATTTTGTAATATCATTTTTTTTCAAACTCTCTATGTGTTATTTAAGTAAATATAAAATTGTGTACGGGATTTATTAAATGTTATCGCTTGTCAAGCTTTATTGTGAAAGTACACGGAGAGAATTTTCTCTTAGAATTTACCTTGAAAATCATGATAATCGTAGGACAATATATGATATTGGAAAAATTTTGTACGAATTTCTCTCATTAATGTTTACCACAATAAAAATACTTATATATACATAGTAAAATTAATTGAATTTATTTTATATCTTATTGTGGTAAATATTAATCAGAGAGACTTGTAAAATTCTTCCAATACCATATTGTCTCGCGATTACCATGATTTTCAGAGTAAATTTTAAGAGAAAATTCTCTCTGTGTACTAAATGTCTGCTCTCTCTCTCTCCCTCTCTCTCTCTCTCTCTGGTAGACATTTAGTGGAATAGAATTTTATCTCTTTTAACAATAATATAACATGTATAAACTCTCTTCTCTCTCTCTCTCGCTCTTTCAATATATCTTCTTCAAAAAGCGGCATTTTGCAGACAGGACGCGGATAACAAGAAGAACGTGTGGGTTTTATCGATTTTATGCATCGAGTGGTGCATAGTAGCGCTTATGAGTTACTGCGCGAATCTGCAGACAGCCAGGCTGCAATATCATCTTGCAAATAGGCGACGCACATGTGGGTCAAGCGCACCACTTTACGCGCCGGCACTTACGTTAACGAGTACACGTGATTCAGGCTAATTATCGGGGGATATGTTGGCTATCTATCGCTTTGTAGAGCGCGTCAAGGGCTTTGTCCGTATCTAAATAATTTGATCGCGACCCGCGCGAAACAGGCGTGCAATTAACAGGCGGCATTCGAATTATTTTATTTCCCCGTCGCGCGATTCTTAATTAAACGATGACCATTTTAAATTCTGTTTAATTGCGCCCACGGCTTCTACTCGGTATTGCGCGCTACGATGAGCTTTTCTCTCTTTAACAAAAATTTCTTTCCAATTTATTTATCTTTCAAAAGTGTACGATGCTTTTATTACTTAATAAGAATGCTATTTAATATTTAGCATTCCCTCATTTTAGTTAATTAAAGTAGTTATTGTTAATTAAATTTGCTCTTTACCTTTATATAATACAAACAATGTGGTCTTTAGAGAAAAACAGAAAATCAATTAAACTATGGTTAAAGTCAAATAATTAAACTATGGTTAAAGTCAATTATCATTACTGAAATGAAATTAGTTCATTATTTATCTTTGCATTTATGTACATAATACATATCATGACGCTATTAAACGCAATAAATTTATTTATTCTCTTTAACTTTTCACGTTACTCATATGATGCTTACTTTTCGCGATTACTTAAGTGTTGCTGATCAAACAAAGATTTAATTGGTATTAATATAATCACTATATTTCAACGTAATTAAACACTGTAAGTTAGATTAATCGTGTTAAACAACGATATAGATTTTCACTTATACCTTACAATGTAACGACTATGCTGCGCGAAAAGTTAGCGAACAGTTAGCTGATGATGCGTATACAGGAGCAAAGGCAATTACCGAACTCTTCTTTGGTATCATAATTTCGTTAGGACTTAATCTAGCGCGCCACAATGCCACCGGCCACGAAATTTCGCGTCGGCTTCACCCACGCAAAATGTCAGCAACCCTTTTCAAACCCTTTTCAACCATCGAGGCGTATAATACACACGCTTCTTGACCTGATGTCACTCATTTCCGCCCACGCGAAGAACGTCTGTAATCTCGATTATTTCAAACTCTCACGATATGCTGTGCACGATTATTCCAAAATTGTGTCAATTATTAATTCAAAATGATTAATATATAATTAATTTTCTAAAATATATCAATATTCCTTTTATACCGGCTCTATGAACATTAATTAATTGACATTTAACTATCTCTCTTTCTCTTTCTAAAAAAAAAGAGAAAGAGGATAGAAGAGGATTCTTTACAAAGAATTCCCGATTTAAAATCATTGATAATTTTTAACTGACATTTACAAAATCCTAGGAAATATATTTTTTCCATATTTTTTTCTCTTTGAGAGAATTAAATTTATACGTAACAGGATATATAATTAAGAAATTAGAAGCACTCTTTCTGCACATATTTCCGTCTAATTGACACTTCTTCACTTCATGATGTTAAGTGTTGATCAATGTTTTCGCGGTGAAATAGTTTTCTTTCGTATTTGCAATGCAAATACGAATAGTAAATTAATGTAAACAAAAAAGATTAACTCTTGCGATATGCTGTGCACGATTGTTATTCCAAAATTGTGTCAGTTATTAATTCAAAATAATTAATATAATATTATATATAATTTATTTTCTAAAATATATCAATATTCCTTTTATACCGGCTCTATGAACATTAATTAATTGACATTTAACTATCTCTCTTTCTCTTTCTAAAAAAAAGAGAGAGGATAGAAGAGGACTCTTTACAAAGAATTCCCGATTTAAAATCATTGATAATTTTTGACTGACATTTACAAAATCCTAGGAAATATATTTTTTCCATATTTTTTTCTCTTTGAGAGAATTAAATTTCTACGTAACAGGATATATAATTAAGAAATTAAAAGCACTTTTTCCGCACATATTTTTCGTCTAATTGGCACTTCTTTGCTTCACGATGTTAAGTGTTGATCAATGTTTTCGCGGCGAAATAGTTTTCTTTTGTATCTGCAATGCAAATTAATGTAAATAAATGTAAAGAAAAAAGATGAAAGAGAATGAATTAAAGAAGGAATGAATTATTCGCACAGGGAGACACTCCGGACGACCGCGCAGCCGAGCCGCCGGAGGTGCGCCGATCTACGGAAGGATGGTGCATAAAGCCCCGGCAGGTAGCAGATGGCGAAACGCGATGCGCGGACCGCGCATAAAAGCCATGGAGGAGCTGTCGCAATACGGGATCGTGAATACGAAATCGTATTCGCCAAACAATCATCGCATTACCAGCTTCCGCGTCGGCGGCGGTATCTCGTCCCCAAAATCGGTTCCTCAAGCCGGCAGTTTCGATACACTGAAAAATCTTATCCAGGCCGAAAGGGCACGCGAATTACAGGTCGGTAGCCCCTCCGAGTCATTAATTAATCTTTTTAATTAATGTGAATAATTCGCATTAGAATGCAATATAAAAATTTGCATTGCACTGTTCACTCGTGAACACTGACCAGCTTCTTAGTTCATTGTATTCTGTATGATATTGTAGACACAAGTCTATTTATATGAATTAATTTAAAAAATATCGAAAAATAGAAGAGAAATATATTTTTCTTAACGATATTACATTTGTCTAAATGAGTTAGAGTATCATATTGATACTTAAAAAATTAAAGTCAATCTATTTTTATGTTTTATAATATATATCTTCACAAGAATCGTTTAAACAATGTCTACTTCAGGAGCAACATTTAGCCGAAGAAATGCAAGCGAAAATTGACAATTTAAAAGGAAAAGACCGGATGAACGAAGAAGAACCGCGTAGACAACAATCACGAAACCAATACTTCAACCCATTCTTAGATCATTCCATGCCACCGAAGGTCAATTACGATTACAATTCGCGACGTATACCTAATACCAGTCGAGCTTGGTCGGTAAGTTTCTTGCGTAAAAATTTTAAATGTTTCAGATTTCACAATTTCCTTGTTCAATTTACCTTAATCTAATTTATCTTAAATCTAACTTCTTACATTATAACATTTTGATTTGCATTTGCAAAATATATTATGATTACATACATGTTATTACTACTATATTTTGTAAGAAAACTACTGTATCTCTACACACTTATAACTCTATATTACATATTACAATATTTTATATTTATAATTTTTAACTCTCTTGTATCCTGCAACCAATTAATTGTTTTACATATTTAAATTCACGAATATATAAAACAATTTTCTATTAAATTATTTTATATATTTATATATATATATATATATATATATATATATATATATAATCTTATACATTCTTTTTACAGAGGAGCGATCCTATCTCGCGAGAATACATACAGTCACCTTAGTATGCTGCGAACTATTACAAAGGAACGGTACAAATCCGCAAACTGCCGCATGCATACTAGTGTTTATGACTGCACGATGCAACTGTAGCCAGTTGTGGCTATTTCAGAACGAAGCTGCAATTGCAAGAGTAAATAACGCTCACTTCGAAGATCACGTGCGTTCTGAAGATCTGAATATCTGCACGAACTTTTAAATCTTTGTGTCAACAATAAGTAAGTGCAGACAAAAGTGCATTTTAACCCAATATCGATCCTTTATCACGGAAGTTTTTCAGCGAGAAGCGATGATTCTTCATCGCGCTAACAATTTTAAATCTGAGCAAATTTTTGGGAAAGAGTAATAAATATTGAAACGGATTAAATAACATTTATTGGGTTAAAAGCGCCAAAGTTATTTTCCCTAAATGTATCAAAATATCGCATGCATATTTCTAATATAAATAGAATTAAAAATATGCATGAGGTAATACAATTTATTTACATATCGGATCGGACTTTGATTGAAGATATGCATGCATTTTTTCGATGCTTCCTATATTTGTGCAGTCCGATGTTTCGCAACGACATTGAAGCGAATAATTTGACATAATGTACATTTTCATTAATTTTATGAATTTTAAGATTTCTCCGCGTTTAAAGCTTTTGCAAAACATTAAACAAGGAAGGAAATTAATAAAATCGGATTCCTTAAACTTATACACAATAAAGATACAATATTTAATATTAGATAAATTTAGGACTTATAAAGCAAATCTTTTTGATCACGTAATGATTTAAAAAAACTGCGCATTTGAAAATTGGAAATAAAATTTAATAGTGTAATCTCTTGAAACCTCAAATACTTCAAAGAAAATATAAATTTTTTGGTGGTCATTTTTTTATAAAGTGCATTTTATTTAAATAAATTTAAATTTAACTTTATAAAAAATGGGACATTTCCCAGATTTGTTTCTCTGAAAAATAGTTCTTTTAGCTTTTTTTATTAAAAGGATCTCTAAAAATATTAAATCGGATTTTTCCGTCAAAAGTAGATACCAAAAAAATGTCAAATACTTCGCGAAAATGCAATTCAATGCAGTTGCACGGATTGGGTCACATATTGCAGCTTTCACGTGCAGAATTTTATTGCGGAGAATATCATCTAAATATTATATCAGCGCTTAATATTAATTAAACGAATATTATGAACGTGATAACAATCACTCTATTCAGTCTAAATATAATATATTATCACGTATTTCATAACGCTCCTGTTTATACGCCGCTAATTTAATTTTTTCAATGTCACACATCCATATTGTCCATTTTAACAAACTCTAAAGTTACAAAAAATTGAATCATTGAATATATAGAACAAAAGCATACAAATAACAAATTTGATTTTATCGTAGTTCTGTTTTTTTTTCTAAACTGCTATTTTGTTATTCATCATTGCCTGAAAAAATTTGCGTTGTATATTTCGATACTCGATTAAAATATGGCAAAATATTCTCAAAGATACTTGCACGTGAATGTTTGCAACTATGTCAAATAGAAAATATCGTATCCTGGCTTCCTCCAACATTTAAAAACTAAATACTTGGACAATAAATTAGTAAGACTTATATCTCTAACAAATTTTGACATTGTACATTAACTTAATGTAAGAAACTCTAGTATATTCTCGATAATCCATCAAAGTGCACCACGTTGTGCCAATGTATATTGGAAATGAAAGACAATAATTACTCTTAAGAAAAAGTTTGTGCGTACAATACTTCTGTGTTCTTAATAAATTACACGCCTATATTGCGGTAAAAAAAACAAACAGAAAAAGAAGAAAAAGATTATTTCTGATGTCTTAAATAAAAAGAATTAAGACGGAATTAAGATGAAGTTTTGTGAAAATGATTGCTAGTTGTACGTACAAGCAATGTTACATCTTGACCCTTAAATGTTTAAATGTTCATCGTAATATATACATAATGCGTATATGAAAATCGATATAAATGTACCGCTTGCTACTATCTTAAACGCAATATCGATAAAAATTTATTGTGCGCCTTTAAATATTTTATTCCTATCGAAGCTTATTGTTAGTAAAGCCTATTGAAATATTTATTAAATTTGCAAAGTTTTGTCACTCCTAAGTAACAACGCAGCATTACAATAACAAATGCTGATCAAACACTTAAGGGTTAAAGAGTGCATTTTAATGACAATAAATGTAAAATTTCTTGCAATTCTATAAAAAAAATTGAAATCGCGTAGAACGACTATTTGTGTGGCTTATCTGTAGCTCATGCTGAAGAAATAATCAGCTCTCAGCTTTTGTAGTTCGTACAAAAGACATATAAATGCAAGAAAAAACTGAATATATAATTATTATACGTATAATAATTTGATATTAAATGACGTTCTGACCGAGAAAACTTTATACTTGTATATTTGAATACCACATATCTATGTGCAAATATATTATCATGCATCTACACATATGCAAACACAAACACATATGCACAGATATATCTGATAATTTATTCTTTAATTCCCATATACTGTCTTAAAGTTTTTGATAAATTTTAATAAATTTTCATTGATGAAATAATAGTATTTTTATTATCTATCATATTATTAAGATGTTATGTGAATTTTTACGACTATATTATAATAGTTAATAATAGACTTTATGATCCGTGTTATAATAGATATTCGCGTAATTTATATTCCATTGTTTCTTTTAAAAATTTAACAACGTTATTAATTAATTAAATAGAAAAATGTAATTGAGAAGTTAAAATTTTTAGCAAATTTTGACTAATTGTGAAATGTAAAATATTTTTCCTCCTTTAAACATTTAATTTTTAATATATTTATTGGGCTAATAGTATTGAAAGATGTAAATTTTTAATTAGAGAGAGATAGTATTTTTAAAGAACTTTACTTTAAACTATGTTTGTGTCACCTTACAAAATGAACTCTATTAATATATATTTTTTATGAAATATCTCATGTATTATTCTAAGCTAATTATTAACAATTAACACGGTTAAATTAAAACTGAATACTCAATTTTCACTGATTGCTTTAAATTATTTCTAATTAAATATTAAAGAAACAATTATCTAATTATTATTTCTTTATGTTATATAAATTATAATAAATAAAATTTTCATACAAACATAAAAAATTAATGTTTGGTCGAAAACAATTGATTTAATTTTGTTTTTCGTTTAACTGTAGGAAAATTTCACAATTGTTAAATAAACGATAAACTATTCCAATCGAGAAACACGCGGACTCTTAATTCTCCGTTTTGATCGGCGTCTTATTCGTCGTAATTTCACATATAATCTCTCTTCAAGAAAGGCTGTTACTTACACAGTAGTTCATTATAGATTAGTCGTTATTTTAAAATATCGTTAAATATTTTAAAATACCGTCGTTTAGGCTGAGGTTTTAGTTGAGACCCAGTGCCTGATATAACAAACTAGAGACTGGTCGAACAATCTCGAGATTAAGACTCGAACAAACTGCACACTCGTAAATATCTTATTAATTTTAAATAAACATGTTCACACATTTTTTATACTTTGTATGTATGGTATAAATATTAATTAAAAACTGATATTTATTAAATATATCAGTTATAATATTTCTTCGTGTATATATATATATATATATACATATAAAATATAAATTTATTTATATACATTGTGCTATCGCACGATTTCTTTAATAACACAAGCACTATTAATAGTCCAAAGTTTATGTCTTAATAAGCAACAAATAAAAAGATATATAAAAGAGTATGTAATTGTTCGAGCTCTTCCTCTCTGTATGAACTTTTGAAACCTCACAGTGTGCTCATCTATATTTTATTATTAGATAGTAAAAATTGCCAAATAATGACAATAAAAATAATCATAGGTGATATTTTAAAACAGGAGAGAAGGATAACCTTAAGTACGTTGCATTCTGTAATTAAAATAAAAGACTTGCATATTGTTTAAGATATATAAGTGTCACTCATGTATGTATCATGTGTGTGTGTATGTGTATATATATACACACATAACTGACATGCACATGATGCTCGTGCACTTAATTCGATAAATTAACGAGACTACTATACTTTATCACCGTACTTGACATAGAGAAATATTACAATATTAATTATGTCTATTAATTAATAGACATAATTAATATCGTAATATTAAATATATTTTACCATAATTATTGTCTCTGTCATTTCTGTTTGAATTCTTCTATAATTATTAATAATTATACTAATTAATAATTATAAATTATTAATAATTATAATAAGTACACTTTTATATTTAATACGCATTTTGTATATAAGCGTAGTTACATTTGTTAACTTCTTTGATTGAATCTTTTATACATACACATAAATGACAGTTGCAATAATTTTTATCTAGAAAAATGTATATTATAATTACTAATATACTAATTGTAAAAGTATATTAAAAATAATCATATTAAAAAACACGTTATATGATAATATGTAATGTAAAAAGCTCTTCGGTACAGCTTTACTTAAATTCTTCGTAAAATATCTTTCGTAATATTTATATTATAAATAAAATATATTGTTTTAATAAAAAAAACGGCAGAAAAAGTAAATTTTGAAATTAGTAGTACGTTTGATAGATATGTTGAATTGCCAAAATTAGTAATTTTACATTTATCTTAAATATGTTCAGTTTTTCTTTGTGTTTTCTTTTTTTGGTGACTATTCTTAGTGACTAGTCACTAAGAATTCAAGCAGAAATGACAGAGACAATAATTATGGTAAAATATATTTAATATTAAAAACTTAGAAAGTTAAGGCAAACAAAAAAAAAGAAAACACACAAAGAAAAACTGAACATATTTAAGATAAATGTAAAATTACTAATTTCGGCAATTCAACATATCTATCAAACGTACTACTATTTCAAAATTTACTTTTTCTGCCGTTTTTTCTATTAAGACAATATATTTTATTTATAATATAAATATTACGAAAGATACTTTACGAAGAATTTAAGTAAAGCTGTACCGAAGAGCTTTTTACATTACATATTACCATATAACGTGTTTTTTAATGATTATTTTTAGTATACTTTTAGTATATTATTAATTATAATATACATTTTCTAGATAAAAATTATTGCGACTGTCATTTATGTGTATGTATAAAAGATTCAATCAAAGAAGGTAACAAATGTAACTACGCTCATATACAAAATGCGTATTAAATATAAAAGTGTACTGCAACTATTGACGACAATGATTACATATGTGAACAAGTCATGGCGTTAAACTGAAGAACGGATTAATTTAATCTGTAAACTAAAGCGGTAGTTGTCTATAATGAATGTATAGATTTACATCTAGTCTGTGAGAGGCTTTATAGTTGTTCCGTTGAGAATTTTATTAATTCTACAGTACACAGAATATCAAAGCGATTATGTAAATTCGTTAAATGCTTATATGTAGCTGACTTATCACATTAAAAATATGTTGCGTAAATTGATGACTAGATAATTATATATCGAATTATATATCGAAATGTGTAGTTGTAAAAAAAAAATTGTGTTTAAAGAATTTAAAGAAACTGCATTATACGTAGATGATGTCATTTAATTTAAATATATACGATGTCTCAAGTAGCGCACATTTTCTGCCAATTACAGATTTATGGTCAAAACTTAAATCAATTTTAACAAATATTTTATATAAACTCATTATTCTTTATCTTAATTCTCAATATAATTACTTAATCTAATAAAATCCACTTTAAAAATAATAAAACTTGTATTCTATCAGTTTCATTTTCAGCTTTTTATAATGTCAAAAACAGTAATTATTAAAACAAGTACTAAATATTTTTTTAAATTTATCTCTAACATCTGTATAAAGAAAATGTGCGATGCTAATAGATTCTGTATACGTATATTATATATTCTAGTAAACGTTCCAAACGTGTGCGTGTACACTCTCTACTGGATTATATTTTATTTTTAAATATAATATATGTCTCTCATCAAAATATTTTATATATTTCCTTGTTCCTAAATAAATCTTCAATTTAACACTTCAAGTATAGACTTTTGAAGTAATATTTAATACTCGAATGCCAATATCTCCAACTAAATAAATCACAAAATTTATATTAATTTCATACAAAGAATTAAATGCATGATTTTTACGTTTTTATTTAGCAAATATTTATCGTATCGCTAATTATTTTCTCGAAATAAATTAATACTAAAAACATACTAAGGACAGGATTATTTGTGATTCAAGGATATTGTGGAATCTGAAACGGAAGAGCATGAATAACATCTGCTCGATAGTTTTATTTAATCTGCATAGATTTATTTACATTCTCTCTGGTAATATAGCTTACGACGCTGCGTAATTTGTAAGAATATATATATATATATATAATATATATATATATATATATATATATATATGTATATATTATATATAGAGGATAAAGTTTTAATATTATTTATAAAATCATCTTGTACCTACATATTCTAATTTATATTCCTATTATATTTCTATACCTCGCATTATTTACAACACCAATTAAAAAAAGCTGACTTGTGTGTGTACATCCCCCACAGATATATACAGCATCCTTCTGTTTTATGTATATTCAAAATGAATTATCAATTGTGCTATTAGAACACATGATTTCTACACTTTCTGTGAAGAATATATGCAAGGTAATAAACCTTCTTTATTTCATGAATCTTAAACAGGAACGATTTTCTCTCTTTTTCTCAAATTCTATTTGTCATTACATAACTATCTCGAATTTAATTTATCCGATATAACAATCCTAACAAAACTTTTTTGTATTGCTATTAAGCAGTTAGCAATGACAAATCTCGTAAAGAGATCTTTGTTACTCTTTGACATGAAGTCGAAAAACGAAATTATACAAATTTATATAAAATTCCTGCGATGAAAGCGTCAATCTAAAAACTCTGTTCACCTTTTGATTATTGTACTGTGTTATAAAAACTATATATATATATATATATATATTATATATATATAGACAGACAAGAGTATAATAAATTACAATGATCCAGAAAACTATCTTCGTATGCGATTATTATAACAAAAATCTAACACAATGTTTATTCTATCACTGGAGCATATAATTATATACGCTCAAATTCATTATCGTTCTATAATAAATCGGGAACGTATAATCGCAGATATATATCTCATATCATGTGTCAAAATATTACATAAGCAAAATACTCACCCTGTACTTCAGCTATATTAGCGCAACTTTGTGCTCTCGATATACAAGTAAATTAATACGCTTAAATTCATTACCTTCCTACATAAATAGAAAAGGTATAATTGTAGACGTATATTTCATATATCTGTCAAAATATTATATAAGCAAATTACTCACCCTATACTGCAGCTATTGGCGCAAGTCCATGCTCTCAGTTAAAAGAAAAGAATGTATTGGTCAAACGCCGTTGGAAGTTGGCGTGTTGTTTACTGGTGCCCGTAATAAATCGTGATATTGTAATAGAGCCTCCCGTAAAGATCTAGACACCTGTCCAGAAGTAGTCGCAATGGTGCATTCCACTAAACATGGATATAATCCGATCAGTTGCTCCCACACTGATCTTTCAACTGAAACATAAACGATCGTTCGTTAAATACACATAATAAAGAATATAATTGCTTATTACATTTATACACTAGAAAATAAAATAGTACCTTTATTTGGTGGTGCCTTTTTGAGCGATACTACAAGAGTGGCAACGGCTTTAAGAACAAACGATATCTCCGACAATCTGTATCTAGAAAAAGTTTCTATAATAAG